TATAAATTTCTTCTTGACCATCATGTTTTAATGTCTACTGAAATATGACAGACGCATTGCTTTTTCACCGTTCAGCTTATGTTAAACAGTAAGAACTTCACTTGATGAGATTTCAGTCAAATCACGCACATTTTTCAGTATGAGCAACAATATTTACGATTGACTTAACAAATGTATGTCAGTCTGTGTGTGCATCTCTTATCGTGTAGTGATTTGTCACTGTCTTAATTTTATTTTGAGAACTGATAAACATCGGCGTAGAGACTGAAATTCCTCCTTCACTTTTGGAACGTTTACTCACTATTATTTTTATGCTCGTCCTTTCAACGATCTTCATTTTCAGTCAGGCTGTCTTGTTTACGAGGCTGTACCCTTCCAAATACGAAAATTTTTCCTCCGGCATCTTATCAGATGCTACTGCTTTGTTGCTGCCGAAGTAATTCTAACCTTCTGGTTTTTGCCCCATTTTTGCAGTCCTTTCATGCCCTTTCATTTATGTCATAATATTGTTATTTCCGATATCCTGAACGTAATCTTACATAGTCGTTTATCTTGGAAAAAGTTATCAGAAAACCATCACGCACTATGCCGAATTCAGATTGTTTCTGGTAAAAATTTTCTGTTCGAAGAAAGTTTTTAAAACCCACTCCTGAAAACTGAAAAAGTATAGAAACGGTTTATTTATACACAACACATGCAAACAAATTTGTCAATCGCATGATTTACCAGTACTCGACGTTTCGACTCGTCTCTGACTAGTCTTTTTCAGTGTGTTCCGGGTTGGCTTCCGCAATTAGATTGAAGACCTGACAGCAGTACGCAGTTGTTGTGACACTTGGAGCCAAAAGTGTGCTTTTTTTTCACACTGCTGGTTAAGTAGGTTTTTGTTGACGGGCTTGATAGGGGCTGTCCAATCCGCTGTGAGTTTGTATCCTTTGTCTCGGCTGACATTTTGACAGCATTGTATATTTGAGACTTCTTTGATTCGTCTGTTCAGCCAATTTCTTTCATTAACAGTGCCTGCGCGATCTAATCATTTGGGATATGACTTATCCGCTGCGAGTTACTCAGCCCCGGAGATCTTTTCACGTAGTTTCTTGACCTGGTTAGGGGCAAGGTTTTGTTTTCTTCCTGGATGCTCTGTGGCTGTATGTCGTATAAATAAAATATTTCTGTACTTTTTTCAGTATCATTTTTAATCATTAACACACGAAGAAAATGCTGAATCTTTGGATAAATCACTCCTGAAACTATACAGCAGCCGTTACCGAAAAAACGCTGCATTTGACGCTTACAGTATCCACCGCAAACCATACCGCTTTTAAGGATCTTTTCATGAGAACGGAGAATTCATTTTCGACAGAAGTTGCAAGGTGTTCGCTCCTGGTGTCTCTTGCCTAGAGAACAAGGGCCAATGTGTTTTGCATGAATCCCTTCTGAAGATTGCTTCGAAATCATTGATAATAAACTCTGCCTGTACTTTTCCTATATTAAATTTTTTATTTGTTGATAAAATTTATCGTTTTCTGAATGTTCGCCAAAGAGGGTAGATTTGTCATATTTTCAATTCGAAAAGATTTACCATATTTTCTAGAGCCACGTTCATACTTTAAATGCAAAGAAGCCAATACTACCTATGCCTCTTGAACCTTCGACGGCATCTAACATGGTTGATCCTACCTCTTTGCTTTTCAATCCTAATGTTCTTTGTATTTTTCGTCCTGACTTCACACAATCGAAAAATTTCACACTTTATATTAATCAGCTGGTGGGTTGATCACATCCCCTGGTAATGAACAGTTTAAATTTTATCTTCAGCTTTGGTTTGTCATCGAAAAACTTTTCTAGAGGTTTATTTTGGTGCTTCTGACCGCGGAACGCCGATAAGCTTTCTCTTATTACTCTTCACTCTTTGATTCCTTTACCAATGTGATCTTCAGGCGCCATGTAAATGACGCCATTTTTAGATGAACGCCATCCTTAGTCGTATCCGCTGCCTGGATGCCTATACGAAGCCGCAAGAGGACTTCAGGGTTAGAACGGTTTGTGGTGGCACAGGTATGCACGGCTTGGTCTTGTCTGTTCTTTTAATTAACAACTGATCCCTAATAACGGGATTAAATCATGTCTTCATTTGTCTGTTTTTGCCTCAGACTTTGCATTCGTTAATTTCGCCATTCAGCGACTCGAATATTTTTTAGAACTGCATGTTTCTCGTTGTAAACTTTTCGCAGGTCATCGTCAAAATCAGTGAAACCCAATAATAATTAAATGATAATATGCCACAAATTAGTATACGAATAACTGTGTATACTTCTAGTTATACAGTACTGG